TTTGTCGGTACACTTTGATGGCACGACTCACCACATTTCTTGACCTTCGAAGGAGCCGACAGATGACCCGCTGAGAAAAGCCTTGGATGCTTAACTCTACGATGCGTCTCCTTCCAACAGCTGGTACTTGTGGCGACATTTTTGAAGACGAATGGGGGGGCTTGAACCCCCGATCGTATACACTTTCGAGAATGGCACTGTCCAATAACTGTGTAATAGCTGGGCTGTGCCGCGATATGGTGCCATTCAACATTTGCTGTACGAGATAATTTCTTATCGTCACCAAGCCCGGAAAACCACGAAACAAGGCAAAAAATTGACAAAAACGACAAAATGGTACTGCGCCTGCGTCGCAAGCACGCGTGAACCTTCCGAGTGCCCGATTTTCCTGAGAGAGCTATAATAAAGAATCGCATTTCCACGCAGTGAGTAATGTGTACAAAAGTAGCGGTGTGCCGCCGTGCGAGGTATTTGGTCGAACAGCTTAAGGAATTAACTTTTGTTTCCTTGTGGGGCCTCCAACATTTGAGCACTTCGAACTGAAATGTGCTCGCATGTAATTCACTGCAGTATTTTACTAACAACACGACCAGAATACCAGAATACACGCTGATGCTCGAGCAACGGATGTTAATGGAGGCAGTCCCAATTCCCGACTACTACGCATTCGAGAATATTGCGTGCATATGTCATGGGTAGAGTTCTATTGAAATACTGAAAGCGGTGACACCCCTTTCAACCATCGTGATTTTCTCTGGTTTCCGGAAAAAAACATTCCCAGATACCCCCAAATATGAAAAGACTCGAAAGTGAAAGCCTATGACATCTCTTGCACGTCTCAATCCACATTAATTCACGCTTACTTGTCTTAATCTACTATAATGCATCTAATTATTGGGTTGACTTCAATCGGGGTTTGTGGTTCGAATAGTAGAAGACGACACATGAATATCTGAAATTCGAATCCTAGAAACTCTTGGGTCGAGGCTCGACTCCTACCAATAATAAGTGCGGGCTCTTGACGTGACAGAACCGCGATATAAGAGTAAAGTAATTTTTATTATATAGATATGACATATAGCTCCACCAAAGTAACATCTTGGGAATGTTTACTCATTCGGGGTTCTTTAGCGTCCACTCAGTATACTAGTTTCAAGTATCACTCCTCTATCGAAATACGGCGTGCGCTACTAGACTTGAAGATGCGTCTTTCGGGTCAGCAGCCGAGCATCAAAACCAGTGCACCACCGCAGCGGCCTTAATTAAGGATATATACTTAATAAACCGAGTCTGTTTGCACCTTTCTTTCTCGGCTCTTTTCTGCAGCTGTTGGCCGTTTGGTGGTTTTATGCATGTTCATAGACGCATGATATTTGGACCGAGTATTACTACTTGCGTTAGTTCGGTGAATGAGAGCGCAAAAGGCAACACTGCTGGCTGAGCTTATTGATTGCCTAACTCGATATTCAAAATGTGATCACGCCGCGGATCGCTTAGGAGTAACGTGCACTATGTGCAGCACGCCGAAACCCGCAAATGATGTGCTGTCGTCACATTAGCACTCAGCTTTTTTCATTGTCTTCACAGCGACTACAAAAGTGACACTTTGCATCGTCCGCATCGTTTCGAGATTCGTGCCGTTGAAACAAGCGAAAGGGCGGGCTGCCAGGTGATATGGGAGGAGCATGCGCAGTACGCGCTCCCGGACAGAGCCGTGCAGCCACCAGAAGGCGCAGCGACGCACCTCGGCACGTGCTCCCGTGGTCTCTAAAATTATGCACTCGACTGTACTACCCATCATTCCCATGGTCGCTTAACGATCGCAGTGCCAGAGTCCTCTCTAGTTAATTTTATGAAACTCTACGCCGAGAACAGCCATGTTTGTGAACATATGCTGCATCCTGGAAGAGTAATCGGGAGCTTTGCAGCGGCGAGATCTGGTATTCTGTCACGCTACCATCTTCACCATGACAATTTGTGCCGTTTTTGGATGCTGAATAATACCGGCTGCGGCGGTATAATGGCTAAGGCACTCGGCTGCCGACCCGCAGGTCGCGGAACCGAATCCCGGCCGCGGCAACCGCATTTTTGGTGGAGGCGAAAATGCTGTAGACCCGTGTGCTTAGATTTAGGCGCAGGTTAACAAACCCCAGGTGATAGAATTTACTGGAGCCCTGGTGACAAACTCCTATCCGTGACGGCAGTCATCAGGCATTCATCACAGGTTGGGGTATTTTCGAGTTGTGCCCAAGTTTGCCACGTTTATTTACGTGATCGCGTTGTTTTCTCCGGAATGCCACCTAGATTCACAGCGACGGTATAGCCGACCTTTTCTATTTGAATAGTCGCGGTAGTCGCGTCTCGGGTTCTTAAATGAGGTTTACAGTGCAACATATGTTCGGCGCGACTGCATTTTTTTCATAAGATATTTTTTTCACAATCCATCAATGAAGCGAGACCTCATTTCACAACTGTCATACCACTCATCGCGCATTGATCATCAGCATAAGGTTGCCATTCCATTTTGCCGCACCAAATTCTTTTCAGCAGCCTTCTTACCGAAAACAGCCGCCGATTGGAACCACCTTCCCTCTTCCGTTGTAACAATAACAGACCCTTTGTTATTCAAGACTGCAATTTCTCAGCAATGCTTGTAACTATACGCAGTTTCCATTATCTATCTTTGTCTTGTATGTGCTTGAATTCTTATACATTTTTAGTTGACTTATGTTGCCTTCCTGATTTGCGCATCTGACACTTGTTTCTTTATTTTGTCTTTTTTTTCTTGTGTGTTATAAATGTTCTACCCACCCCCTCTGTAATGCCCTACGGGCCCTGAGGGTATTCTAATAATTAAATATGTGAACGTGTCTTCTTTCAACCCGCGAATTTAATGGACGACGTGCACCGCGACTGAGCTCCAGCCGTACTTGTTGCAGGGCAACGGCGGTCCGACTGCTGCCGCATTATCAGCGCGTTTTCAGCGCTCTAAAAAGTGACACATGGACGAACACGCCGGCCAGGGAATTCGGAACATCGCTCGAACTGTCTGCCATAGACGCAGAACGAGAGCGTAATGAACCATCAGCAGTAGATCCCATGAAACCGTAGCTCAAAGAGGAAAACAAACCAAGCATTGCAACACTACTGAAACGAGCACAACTGCGGTGATGTCCGAACATGGATGTAGGCAAGAGCGTGCAAAAAGGGCATTGGCGCCTCCCAAACAACACCAAAATTGCTGCCGCCCCGATGCAACACGAGTTTGCACTCCACACTACAAAATTCCGTCGAAGCCCGTGTTCTACTTATACGGGAAAGAGTGTCGTAACTGTCCTCGATTAGAAAGACGACACGACGTGATAAATGCGGCTTTGCTGCTTTGCTCTTCACTCACCCTCTGGTAGAAGTTGTTGTGGCCGTCCAGCGACATGTCGGTCTTCATTTGTTGCTGCGTGACGCGACTTGTCGAAAGCAGGACTAGTGGACGATGTCTTGGTGTGTCACGGAATGCAGCATATCGACGTTCGATGTATCCCTATCGATTCGCAGTTCACATGGGTCGATATGCCATCACACATTTCAATTTTCGCTCAGTTACGTACACGAGAAGGTTCCACATTAAGCTCTTTGAAGTACGACGGGAAAAGCGCATGTACGTTTCCTTTCGCCGCATCACACGAATGATGCCGACAAGCTCTCACCCGGCGGTGAGATGCACGCGCAGCCTGACTAGCCTGACTTAATGTTGACAAACAAGGGGCGGTCCCTTGTTTTGCGAGCCGAAAATGACGTCACGTGTAACTTATGTATAGACGGTTTTCCACAGCAGGGAACGGACGCTGCCACGTTTGAACACGCGATCTAATGGCCATCTCTTATATACTTCAATGTCGCCGATGGCCGGCCGTTTCCTCGCCAGCACTCCCTGGTTGAAAGTCTGCGAAGCGAGCGCAATACATGGTCTGCGCTGCCCGTTACTCTTTTTTTTTTAGGCACTGCGCCGTGTCGCCTTAAGGCTGACAGAAATCGGGTGCCTTTTTTTTTCTTCAAGGATCACTATCATCTCCGTTTTTCACTGTAGGCTCTGTGGGGCTACGTCCACCACATGCCTCATCGCCGCCGCGCCACCAAGGAGAAAATGACGATAGTTATAGCGCGAGAACAAAACGACGACACAGAGACAAGAAGCTTGGACACGAAATACAGCGAATACAGACAAATACGAAATACAGACAAATTCTTCTCTCTGTGTCGTCGTTTTGTACTCGCGCTATAACTATTGTCATGCCATACCAACTAGCCCAACCTGCCACACTTCCAAGGAGAAAGTCATGGCGTTTTGGCATGGTGGTGCCATCTAGTCTTGCATAGACAAACTAGCTGGGGAAAACTCTCTATTAAACTATGTTAGAATATGATGGAGCTCAGCGCGGCGACGCTGTGTTCACCCATGGTGAGAGTTGCATCAGGCCCAAACGCCACTTTTCATCAAATGGTTAATTTGGCGAGTTGTCAATTCATGATGGTTTGAAATACGAGCGCGATACGCAGACAGGCACAGCTAAGACACAAACAAGCGCTTGTCTGTCTCATAGCTGTTCCTGTCTACGTATTGCGCTCGTATTTCAAACGTATTCTTGATTTTTGTCGGCTATTAACCAATATCCGGCTATCTCTCATTTGACGTCAAACAAGAGGCGCCGGCGGCTGCCCAAGGAGTAAACGCCTGCGTTAAACGATGAAATAAAAGCTTAGCACTCAACGTCGAAAATTCTTTTTGCCATGCGCACCGGCAAGATTTAGCACAGCGTTTCTACTATCCGCCCAATATTTCTTTTCACCATGCTAGAGGGGTGGTTAAATCATGACCCCTTTACCCTGAAAACACAGAGTGTAATGCAAGAATGTTTGAAGTCAGACCTATCATATCTTCAAATCAGAAGCATGAGCAATGAATCTATTGTCTCATACCGCGGAACCTCTGGTGACCAACTCACCAACATGTGAGCAGCTGATGTCCCAGCAATGATGGCCAGACGGCGAGAGAATTCTTCCGGGAACTTTCCGTCCGCCTCGCACCCAAGCAGGCCTAAAAGCCAGAAGGTTGAAAGGTAAGGACTCGTTCAAACTTGTGACTAGCACAGGTCGCATAATCGTTCGCGACTGGCGTGCGACCAAAAAGCGAGTCAAAGCGCATGCGCAGTCACTCGTAGTGCCATTACTTAGTTGAGCTCACGTCTCATTCCCGTCCATATTATTTTCGGAGGCTTACGACTGTAGTCGCACGTCCAAAAAACTGGTTAGATGAATGAAATCAACGTTGTTTAAACCGAAGGGGCCATTTGTGCACCATACATGCCATTCGCAGCTCTCAACCAGCCTCAATTTATCATCATACGTTTCATCATTTATATTTCCGCAGAAAGAAAAAAAAACTGTAAGAGAACTTCAATGTTATTCACGCTACAATAAATCACACTGCATACTGTGCTACACTCATCACTTGCACCTTGTTTAAAAAAATTAAAATTCAGCAAGAGCTCCTTGCCGAATTTTGATCATTAAAAAGATTTTGCCCAGCAAGTATCGCCACAGCGTCCCCCCCCCCCTCCCAACACTTTTTCGTTTGACTTTGAAAGGAAGGAAGCCTTACAGTGGATGATTAAATGAAAGTTAAGCTGTAGAGAACAGAAGCGAGACGGCCAATTTGATTCGGACGACAACGTACGAAGCGGTATCGGCTAGAGCCCTGCACGGGTTCGGCAGGGCTTGCGGGCCGGGCCGGGTAAGGGATTTCTGAATCGGGCCTAAATAGGCCTGTATTAGGCCCGTGTCTCATACATATTGGTATAATGGCACGCTTACGCTGTTTTGCTTTGTTGTTTCGGGGGGTTTAACGTCCCGATGCGACCCATTCTATGGGAGACGCCGTAGTTGAGCGCTCCGGGTAATTTAAAACACCTTGAGTTAATTAGCGCGCATTGCACCATCGGTATGCTACACGTAGTTTCAAGAAACTCTTTATCTCAGTTTGCACCATTGAATGAAAGATGATCTCAGGTACCGTGTGAGGAAATGCTCGCCAAGTGGTACTGTTGCAAGGGCAATGGTACTCTGCCTTAAGTATTTATAATATGTGTGCCTTTGTGCCTAAAGAACAGAACAGGAGGGAAAGGAAAAGCAATGATGTTAATTAGTATAGAGCAACTGGTATGCTACCCTACAATGAGGACAGGCTGTTTGAAAATTGAAGAGAGGGAGAGAGATGAGAGCACTCCCACTCGTGGTCGCACGTCACAGTAATGCTAACACTATTAGTCTATAACAGCCAGCCCAGGTCCATTGCCTCCGATAAGCTGGGGACAACTTTTGTCGCATTCACACGTGGTGACCTAGATGGACAACATTCCAGAATGAAGGCCGCCATCTAGGGAAATATTTTGAGTATGCAGCTGCACTCTTATGCGCACCGTGCCTCTTTTCGCCTGCGTAACTCCGTAGACTTGTACACGAGATTTTTGAGTCAATAATATCTCAGGAGTCATTTTTCACGCAGTTTAAGGGCGAGATACGGAGTGACTCGTCTGTAAATTGATGCAAGTGTTGCCAGTTTTGTGCTAGCAAGGCAGTTTCAAATATTTAGTATTTGACAATTAGCCAATATTAGCATTTCATTTGGATACCTCTCGTATAGAGCATATTTGTTTTGCTTATATCTATGGTCACCGTCGTCTTGGTCATTTCGTCAGTAATTCATAATGTCCTCATTTGTCGAAGCTTAAGCGCGTGGCGCTCTTAAAACGCGGAAGCACTCTCGCGGCGGAGGTGAGTAAGAGCTTTAAGGAATGTGAATAGATTATGATTATGGTGAAACTTTGCTGCTGTAACCCTTGTAAGACGGAGGTGTACTCACACGGGTGTATTCACACCTCTTCCTAGTGTTGAACGATTTCTCATTCTTTGAAACTTCTTACCCTGTCTGTCTGTCTGTCTGTCTGTCTGTCTGTCTGTCTGTCTGTCTGTCTGTCTGTCTGTCTGTCTGTCTGTCTGTCTGTCTGTCTGTCTGTCTGTCTGTCTGTCTGTGAAAACGCGTATGTCCCGGTGCTCTCATGACGACCCCCTTAACTAAGGTAAACATAAAGTCACGTATCTCGTCAAACACTTTCCGCCAGACAAGTCTGGCACATACCCAATACCACAGGTGGTTATGTGCCACAGGTATTCGTCAAAACTGCGATTCGACCAAGTTGTAACATATTTACCTTGAGGCGTTTGCACCCCTTTGTGTTTCTGATCTTTGTCCCTGCGCGCTTGCGCGAAAATTTACCGAAGAACAGGTATGCGCATATGTGTCACAGGTGATTGTCAGTTTATATCTACCTAGAAACAGCAAGACTAGACATTGGTAATCTTAATGCGAGAGACTTAAGAAAGAGCTGACATCGGCAGCTTTTACCAGAGGAATGCAAAAAATAAATGTCAGCATTGCAACAGGAATCTAACCCAAGAAATCTGCGTGGCAGAAATTCTGTATAGAGACATGCCAGGTCACGTAGCTGCTTTTCTCCTTGACATACATAATGTTCGTAAAACGTCAATTGTGGTTGCAGTGCTGGCTATCAAACTTTACAAACATGGCATATGTACTCCTATGATACAACCGTCACGTCGGGTTAACGACAATTGAAGTGAAGTGCCATCAAAGAAAGTTAATTGATGTAGCAGTGTTCAGGGCTACCATTCCCGGGAGCACAAGCTTACCACTTCTGTTATTGCTAATACCCATGTTTCAGGGGTGAAGCTCCTTAAGGCGTGGGTTGTGCGTCCCGTCGTAAGTGTATGTAATCACCTCTCGTCAGGCCTTGAAGCGGTCGTTAGAGGGCGGTATTTGTACATATAACGAATGCATATATGCTGAAATGCAAGATACTAGAGGGCCTTTCTTGTAGTACGATGCGCGCAAGGCAGCGGTGGCGCGCGCTCGAAGACGGAACTTCGATGTGCAAGCGCGCGAGAAAGTAGGAATGACGTCACACGAAGACGTTAGCGATCGCGTGTTTGTCGGTGGCACCGTACGCTAGAGAGCGCGGTGTAGTAATATAGAAACCGTTTTGGCGCCCGCGCACGTTCAGAAGGTCGGCGGTTGGACAAAACTGCAGAGAGGTGTGCGCGCAAGGCGGTGGCGGCTCGCGCTCGAAGTCGAAACCTCGGTGCGTGAACGCGCGAGGCAGAAGCATGTCGAGAAGCTGTGCGGCGGCGCTGACAAGATCTTGCCGTACGAGAGCGGAAGGCCCAGGCGGTACGGCATACACACACACCGTTCCTCAGGTATTTAAATGATGATTGACAGGGCGAATTACACGGTAGATTCAGGTTTACTGATGATTCCCTCCAGAGCTTCACCCACTCATCATCATTCACCCCACGAATATGCTGTGATTATTATCGTACATATCTTTACCATCAATGCATAACCTCTCGCTCAGAAAAAAATTACGCCACAGTCACATTATCTTCGCATACTTCGCATAACATCAGTTCGCAGGTACGTGGGATCTGCCAAAATTTTTTAGATGCAAATCATCTTAAGGTCAAGTTCAATCCGGTGTGCGGCGTGACCACATTTACTGCGCATGAGGATTATCTCTCCCCTTTTATCTCCTCTCCTATGATCCCAGCCTCTTTCGCCTCGCAACACGGACCGACGCAGGCAGCGTCTGCTAGCGAGTTTTTTTTTTTATATTGAAAAAAGCCGACTACTTGCACTGCACAACCGTTCACTGGCCACCGCATTTAAATAGGCACTGGATCTAGACCTCCAAGGTAGTGCCGGTGGAAGATTTATGTTGTGCTTTGTCGAACAATAAAAATTCGCAGCGTGTGAGTGAACTAAAAGTGGAATGCGAGTCTTTGAGTTAAATCAGAGTCGTCTGTATCTCATTGTCCACTGGCAGCTATTCGCATGTTTCAGTAGAAAACAGTGGTCCATCAGTGCCAGCTCAGCGCTTTCCTGCGTTTCTCTCCTGCGCAACTGCCGCCATGAGCGCCGGCGTCAGCGCCACCGCTAGTGTAAGCGTTAGCACCCGTTGTTTTGTATCTACACATTGTTCCTTTTAGAGGGAGATGGTGTAATTTTGCTTGAGCCTAAACTTTTTCACTTTCGTGCCATTAACCATTTTTTTTCTTTCTGCTACACATCTCATTCTCCTCCATTGTGACTGTTACAAGCTGCAAGTCTGCAACCACTACCGTAGGCCAGAGGCCACCAGGCTTCACTCCCCTGTTCGCACCAAGCCTTCAGCCATCACTGACTAGGGAACCCACTTTCCCGCTTCCGGTCCCTGCGAGGGATCGCACTCCGGACACCCGACACACCGCGTTCAGCGGGCAGCGCTTAAAATGGCCGCGGCTGATTCGCTTCGGCGCTCTGACAGACAGTTGTTTCGAAAACTATGTCCTAGTTTGATAAAATACTGAACACTAGCCGTCAAACCACAATACCTCTTACAAAACCACATCGCTCGCTCTTCCAGCCGTCTCAACAACAGCACATGCTTTCAACGCTTGTCAGGGTGAACGCATTTATGTAACAACTCTGCGCTTCCCCTGGGCACAAAAATGTGGAACGGGCTCCCTGACGCCATTGTAAACCTACGTGAGCCCACAACCTTTAGAGATAAGCTAACTCTATTCTTTTCCTCATAGATTTATCTGCATACAAGTGCTTTGTCGAAGAAAATCATTGTCTTACAGCTATACTACTAGTTATCACTTTAATATTCAATACAAGTTTGTTGTATTTTTGTATAAGATATATTTCTTATCCGTGGTTCTTTTTGCACACATGTATGAATCCATTGCAATTTTCTTAGCGTGTTTTGTTAAGCTTCATTCCATGCCTATCATGCGTCTTTTAATCATCTGTATTTTTTTGCTAATTTATTATTGAATTTGCCATATCTTGCACAATTTACAAGTTCTGGTTTATTACTAGTCTTATCCCCCCCTCCCACAATGTTCCAAACATAGGAACACGTGAGGTATTTGTATAAAAAGGTCGAAGGTAGTCAAGCAAGGACGATGAGATTG